TACTAACTCTAGTCAGGGCTGCAGCAAACCCTGCAAGAGCCACCACTCAGGGACACCAGTGTCCATGTACGGACACCTTGCTCATCCCTGGGTGGGATAGGTAGAGGTGAAGAGATGAGTTTTTATGTATCAACTAAAGGCAGGCAGAAGAGCCGATAGCTGGACTGGTTGGGGTAGGGAGTTCCAGAGGATGGGGGATGCTCTGGAGAAGTCCAGGAGGAGAGCATGGGGGGAGGTGACGAGGGAGCTAGAGCAGGAGGTTCTGAGAGGAGCGAAGAGTAGGGGTACGGCTCAGCCACTAGTCAACCAATGGTGCTGCGCAGCTCAGCCACCAGTCAACCAATGACATTGTGTGGCTCAGGCACCAGTCAACCAATTGCGAGGTGCAGCTCAGCCACCAGGCAACCAATGACGCAGTGTGGCTCAGCCACCAGGCAACCAATGACGCAGTGTGGCTCAGCCACCAGGCAACCAATGACGCAGTGTGGCTCAGCCACCAGTCAATCAATGACGCAGTGTGGCTCAGCCACCAGGCAACCAATGACGCAGTGTGGCTCAGCCACCAGGCAACCAATGACGCAGTGTGGCTCAGCCACCAGGCAACCAATGACGTAGTGTGGCTCAGCCACCAGGCAATCAATGACGCAGTGTGGCTCAGCCACCAGGCAACCAATGACGCAGTGTGGCTCAGCCACCAGGCAACCCATGATACTGTGTGGCTCAGCCACCACTAAGCCATTGCCACTCTGAGGGTCGCATAGCGTCGTTGGTTGCTCGGACACAGACACAGGTTGGGTGCGCGGGTGAACTGGCCACATCGTTTGCTAGTTCACCAAACTAAAAACAGTTAGCTGGGTTTGGGTCAAACTTTTGGTGGACCCAAACCCCAAGGCCATTCCTAAAGGAAAGCTGCATGTCCTGCACGTTGTGACCACTCAGATGTGCCCCTCACTCTAAATACTGGAGTTGGAAGGTTTGGTAAATGTTCATTTCTATTGTTGAGTTTACTTTACATGACACAATTCAATGTGCACAGGATCCTTGCAGTGTCTGGCTCAGCTTGAGCACCTCCATGCTTCCTGCAATTGGGGTCACAGCCGGATCTCCTCCTCGGGTCAGACAAAAGGTCTTTATGAGAATGCAAATTTTCGGATGTGTATTCGAAGTGTTTCGTGTCTACAGAATTGTATTTCAGTTCTGATCTCATTGTCCGTTGTGAGTTCTGTTGTCTCTCCTGAGGATGGATCGTGACCAATCCAGATACAGATCATTCTTTTGACCATGGGCCCTATCTGTGCACCAGATTTATATACAACGCGGGCCGCACTCCAGTAGAATTTCGCACCAACGTTGGTACGAAAACACGATTTCACCAGGGCGTCCGATGGACTCAAAAATTCGGGGGGTATTTTGTTTGATTGCCATGCCAACGTGTCGAATTCTAACGTTCAATATCAGGAAGCACAAATGTGATGTAATGTTCATTTCTTCATGCGCATCACAAAAATTAAAGTAGAACTGATGCCAAAATGTTTTTCTAGTTTTGGAGTAAGGGAGTAATCGAGTAAGGGAGGGTTATAACCCCCTATCGCCTTTTTTTTTTGCCATGCCCCATTCGAGAGATTTCACTTCCTGTCTGATAGCCACAACAGGAAGTGAAATGAAATGTGTGTGTTTTTAAACTGTACACATGTTGGGCCATCTGTGTTCTAGCGACCAAGGATGTCAGACATCAGGGGCCCGTTAATAGTGTGTAATCAGCGGCACCTGTACAAATATGTTGCATGCGCTTCCTGAGTGGAAGGGGGTTAAGGGCCTGTTCACACGACGTCCGTTTTGTGTGCTGACCGGCTCCGTACGCTGCTGCACTCAAAATGCATCCCAATGTATCCCTATGTGTTTTATGGGCTACAGTTCTCACGTGCGCAGTCCGTTCAGCTTACGACAGAAAAAATACTGTATGTCACATTTTGTCAGGTCCGGAAACGGAACGGATACACAAACGCGTCAAAAAGGCGTCAAAAATGCACTGCGCTGCAGCTAACATACTAACAGCCCCACTCCAGCAAAAAAATAAATAAATTGCTGGAACGCATCAAAAACGCGGCCAAAAACGCAATGCATCAGCAGCTCCACGTCTGCTGATCAGGACCTGATCTCATGTGAACAGGCCCTTAAGGAAACAGGCACACAACCTTCTTCTTTTAAAGGAGAACTATGAGGGGGGTGATTTCCACTCACCTCATAGTTCTAGCCGACCTGTGACAATGAGACTGTCACAGGTCGGCTCAGTAGATCGGGAGGTGAGCGAACACATACCGGCGTTCGCTCACCTCTCGATCCTGTCACTGGGTACAGCTGGCTCTGCCTCTAGATAGGCAGAGCCAGCTGTCAGTCACGCAACTGGGCGGATTCCGGCACGATTGTCGGATCCGCTTCAGCTGCGGCGTCTCAGTATACCCCGAGCTGTAGCTCCCTATATACTGAGCCTAGGGTGACGGGAGGACGCTAGTTTGTATCCTCCCGCTACCCTAAGGAGAACTATGGGGAAAAGACTTAACCCCAATTAAAAGGTGGAGCACACACAACCAAGCGCAGCACCCCGGCTTACACTTGATCACGTTGATAGATATTGCTGCAGCTGGTTTATTTCTGTAAATATATCCTAGCGCAACTACCCTGGTTACAACTTAACCCCATAGTTCTCCTTTTAAGCTTTTTTTTATTTAATCCAAATCTGATTTCGTACCCAGATTTGCCTCTACACAACTGGGCGGGGCTTGCTGTCACCTCCAAAGGCTATCACACAGGGGCTTGTTAGCTAGCTCCTGTGTGATAGCAATAAAGTTAGGTGAAAACATTTTTTATTTATAAAAATTAAAAAAATAATAAGAAATTAATAATTAAATTAAATAAGGGGATTAAAAAGTAAAAGGTAATAAGAAAAAAATTATTAAAAAATAATTATAAAAAATAGACATTAAAAAGATATAAAAAAATTCTAAAAAAAAGTAAACGATGAGCTAAAACGTAAAAAAAGTGAAAAAATAAATAAAAAAAGTAAAAAATAAATAAAACTAACCCTGTCGCCGCTGCCATTACCCGTTGATGAGGGGGGTGCATTGCGGAACCTGGCCTTGGGGCTGCAGGGAGAGTAAATCCTGCCCTGATCACCTCCCACACTGCCAAACCGACAGAGGCCACCAACCTGTGCCACTTGCCTACAAATGAAGAGAGGGGAATCCCCACATTGGGGACACCAACAATTGACAAAGTGTCTAACTCTTCCCTACTCTGCCATAAACCGAAACCTTTTTTTTGCCTCTACAGATACCTTAACCTCGGCATTTCCCGTAACCGTGTCTTCAATCTTGTCCTTTCAGGGTTCTCCACTATGACCGACTCTGAAGTCCTTCACTTCCACTTCGAGCAACAAGGAGATGGCATACTGCACAAGATGAACATGCTCAGAGAGCAAAACCTGTTTTGCGATGTGTCTATATATATTAACGATGCCGAGTTCCACGGACATAAGGTGGTCTTCGCCGCCTGCTCCACCTTCATGAGGGATCAGTTTTTGCTGAACCAGTCCAGGCAGGTCCGTATCACCATACTACAAAATGCGGACGTGGGTCAGAAGCTGCTGCTCTCCTGCTACACCGGGGTTCTGCAGGTAAAACGAAAAGAACTCCTGAAATACTTAACGGCGGCCAGCTACCTGCAGATGGTCCACATCGTGGAGAAATGCACAGATGCCCTCTCTCGGTACTTACACAGTGAGACATGTGACAACATGGAGACACTAAAGTCAGAGCAAAACCTTCCTAGCGAGCCTCAGATTGACGCCGGCAGCGACCAGGATAGAGACTGCGAGATCATTGAACTGTCAGAAGACAGCCAGTTAAATTTAGATTACCAGGTTAAGAAAGAGAACGACCAGGAACAGATGCAGAGCCCCGGGTCTAAAAACGATGGCCTCTCGACGGCGGACCTTGACTACAAAGAAAGCGACATCTGCGTTTTCCAAATGGGCTCCATGTCTGATAATGCAAACAACGGGGACGGTGAGCAGTTCCCTCAGCCCTGCACCTCGTCAAAGTCCAATATGTATTTTTCGGACACGCAGCATTCGATAATAAACTCAACTGTTGAAAATCGTGGGGCTGATCGGCCAGGCGGTCCATACCTGAGTTACCAGGAAGGGGGTGAGTCATCCCTTGGGGCAATGCAAGGCCTCCCGAGTACAGCAGAGTGGTCTTCTTCCTGGAGGCATCAGTGCCCAAAGTGCCCTCGTGGCTTCCTCCACTTGGAGAACTACATCCGCCACCTGAAGATGCACAAGTTGTTTTTGTGCCTGCAGTGCGGAAAGACGTTCACTCAGAAAAAGAACTTGAATCGACACATCCGGGGCCATATGGGTATAAGGCCCTTCCAGTGCTCCGTGTGTCTGAAGACTTTCACCGCCAAGAGCACTCTACAGGACCACCTCAACATCCACAGCGGGGACCGACCTTACAAGTGCCATTGTTGTGACATGGATTTCAAGCACAAGTCAGCCTTGAAAAAACATCTCAATTCGGTTCATGGGAAAGGCGGGGGAGATAAATCAAACCTGGACATTACAAAAGTCACCATAGATTATGACTAGTCTATGCTGTAGAGCAGCGGTAGGCAATCCCTCGCCCTCCAACTGTGGTGAAACTACACATTCCATCATGCATCTGCCTCTGGGAGTCATGCTTGTGGCGCTTGGAGTCTTGCAACGCCCAATGGGATTTGTAGTTGCACCACAGCTGTAGGGCTGCAGTTTGCCTACCCATGCTGTAGAAGATTGTAATGCATTTTACTGAATCATCCTGCACTTAAAGCCCCATAGAGGGCAGAGTAACAGGGTTACCTAACCCCCACCACGCACAAACCCCTATATAGTTTCCTAGAGTGAGTGAGTTCCTTGTATAAGCTTCAAACTGACTTGTCAAAGCTTACACAGTCCGTCCCTAAGCCCTGGGCCCAGGCCTAAAGCTGTGTAAAGGGCCCCAAAATGTCTGATGGCTGCCCTGGTTACACTGCATGATGGTAGGGTCACATTGCACAGCTGCTCTCACTAGTTGGTCCTCTGACACCCAGCTACAGTATGTAGGTGGCACTGGGCAGTGCAATCTCTTGCCACATGGTGCCCGCATAGGTTCAGTGGCAACATCATTCTCCAAAAGCTTCTCCTCTTTCAGATACTAACCTCTGAACATCAATTACCTATTTTAATGAGCCTCCAATGACCACCAACAAATGAGGGGCATTCACCAATGACCACCAACAAATGAGGGGCATTCACCAATGACCACCAACAAATGGGGGGCATTCACCAATGACCACCAACAAATAGGGGGCATTCACCAATGACCACCAACAAATAGGGGCATTCACCAATGACCACCAACAAATGATGGGCATTCACCAATGACCACCAACAAATGAGGGGCATTCACCAATGACCACCAACAAACGGGGGGCATTCACCAATGACCACCAACAAATGGGGGCATTCACCAATGACCACCAACAAATGGGGGCATTCACCAATGACCAACAAATGGGGGCATTCACCAATGACCACCAACAAATGGGGGTACTTAACCACTGACCACCTCCGAGAGCAGACACTTCACCGCTTACCACTCTGTATATCCCAGACAAGCTACTGACCACAAGTTATACTTTACATCAGGGGTAGTCAAACTCGGGCCCTCCAGCTATGGTCAAACTACAAACCTCCATCATGCTTCTGCCTCCAGGAGTCATGCCTAAGGCTGTCATAGTCTTGCAATGCCTAATAGGATTTGTAGTTGCACCCCAGCTGCAGTCCTGACCCCTATGCTGTATGTTACATATTCCTGACCCCTGCACTCCGTAAGCTGTACTGTACATTATATACTCCTGAACAAAATGTCCGTCTTAACAGTTGCTGGTTGTTAAGTACTAGCCAACCATTCTAATGAAGTTTGTCTCTAAGGTAGGCTCAGAAACAGTGCTAATAATTATATATCATCTATATTCTGTGTGCAAAAAAAAAATGTAATGGATGAGTTTTGTTGTTCTTTTTTTCCTTTTAAATCCTTTGTTCTGGGGTTCACATGGATTTTTGAGGGTACAAGTATTGTGGCGTATGGGTGAAGTCTATACAATGAGAAGGGTAGGTTTCATGTAACCATGTCCCTTTAAGCCAGGCCCACCATTGTGCACATGAACACCGAGCCATTGTTCTCCTCTCGGCCCCCAAGGGAGCCCCAAGTCATTCGAGTGACCCTCGTGGGGCGTAACATTTTACTAATCATTCACTCTGTTCAAAACAGGGGTAGGCAACCTTGGCACTCCAGCTGTTGTGGAACTTCAAGCACCCTTTAAGCATTAAAAGACTTGACAGCCTCAGGCATGACTTCCAAGACATGATGGGATTTGTAGCGTGCCAAGGTTGTCACCTCAGGGTTAGAACTGTAACGGTTTTCTTGATGTCTATGTCCCTACAGTAGAGAGAACTCACCAATGGTCCTGGTGACCTCACAAATGTTGGATTGCCATCATTTTCTGTACTGGGTGAAGTGCAGAGAGTGATCCCCAGGACAGAATGTGATGGAAAGCCAAACTTTTTGAGTTGTCCAGGAACGGGACATGAGGGGGAAATCTTCAGATGAGAAGATTTGGAGGAGAAGACCTGTCCTGGTGACAACCTTTCCACTTTGAGGTGCTAAAAGCCATCTTGACTACAGTAAGTAAGACTGCTGTAGGTGGTAGATGCCAAATCAGCTGCTGAAGAGCTCTATGCATACGGAGGCATCGATGCTGGTTTTTCGGTATCGAATACCTCGGCATTATATGGGGACAGTCACTGCAGGGGTGGACCAACTAAAATTGAATTCAGGATCCAGTCTGTCCAATCCAGGATCCAGCAGGATTTTTACACATGTGCATCGCCGAAATGTTTTAGTTTTGTTTCGTTTTATGTTACGCCCTAAAGGGCCTGGAAATAACAGCATCAACCCCCCCCCCCTTTCCTGCCCTTCCGTCCTAAAGGGTCTGGCAGGGATTTTGGGGGGAAATCCCACGCACTTTTTTTTTTTTTTTACTTGAGGGGTCCCTCCTAACATTCCTATCAGACCTACCAGATATATCTGAATCTCCGAAAATTCGTCCGAATAAAGGATCTTTATGAAACGAATCGCACATGTCTATGTCTAAGGATTTTTGAGGAGCCAGTTCCATTGACAACATTTAGAGGAACCTTCAAAACTTAGGCACTAGCTGTGATTTTTAGGGTGCATTGGTTACCTGGCTCCTGGATTTGTCCAGCCCTGGTGTAGAGTAACACAAATCTAATACTCTCCAAATCTTGTGTGTAATGAGAATTCAATTCAAAACTTTATTCTTGCCAAAAACATTGTCCAAACTTTGCGCTAGCTGGCAAGCATCGATAAGGGTTTGTCTTGTTTCCCTGAAAAATGTCTAGTGCTGATGTTTGCTGTCTACACAAAAGTGTAGTACAAATGATGGGTTGGGTCACCTACCAGCCTCTTAAAATTGTCATAGACCCCCAAGGAGAAGTCTTTTGTCTATGCACTTTAACTGTAGACCTCACTTGGGCTGTATGCCCAGCAATGTGGTCTTCACTGGGTGCAAGTTGTCTTTATTCCTCTCAGGAAACTAGCAACATTGCTTGCCATGAAGTTTGAGGGAAGGCAAGAGTAAGGTCGGACCTGAGAGTTCAGGGCAAGACGGAGGTCGGACCTGAGAGTTCAGGGCAAGACGGAGGTCGGACCTGAGAGTTGAGGGCAAGACGGAGGTCGGACCTGAGAGTTCAGGAGCAGGAGCCAGAAGATAATTGAACCTGCTGGTGGCCACCTAAAACGGGATTTGCATTTTTGTGAACTATTTGTTGTGAATATTTGTTTGTAGATTTGATGGCATAAAGCGACATTTTCTAATTTCTATGTATAATACAGAATAAAAATGACGCATTCTCTGTGCTGCCACTAACGTGATCTTACATGTGCCAGCGGTGACCCTATCTCTCTCTATGTGGTGGCATGGTTATGCTCTTGGTGAAATAGTAAATATTGTGAATTATATTTGTCGCCGTGTGTATAATAAAAAGTTGTTAAAATAAAAATGCTTTAAAAAACAAACAAACCTGTTTTTGCAACGTACTGTACTAAATATTACAGCCGAAACATGACGTCTGTAAGGTTACTCATGTTTAAGCCGATGATTCCAAAATGACACGTTGTACGCATTTTTTCTTCTCATGTTATCTTCTGGTGGTAATTGGCTCTTCTGTAGACTGCTATGACATTTATTGCTGTGTTGGGACACTACGTGCCGGTATACCGCAGAGCAGGTGTGACCAGATATGTGAAGCTATAGAGAGGATCGGACTCAAAACTGAGTGAAAAACAGTAGGATTGAGCACACACACATATATACACATATACAGTATACACCGATCAGCCATAACTTCATGACCACACGCCTAATATTGAGCAGGTCATACCTGAGAGTTGAGGGCAAGACTGGGGTCATACCTGAGAGTTGAGGGCAAGACTGGGGTCATACCTGAGAGTTGAGGGCAAGACTGGGGTCATACCTGAGAGTTGAGGGCAAGACTGGGGTCATACCTGAGAGTTGAGGGCAAGACTGGGGTCATACCTGAGAGCTATACAGAGGATCGGACTCAAAACTGAGTGAAAAACAGTAAGATTGAGCACACACCCATATATAGTATACACCGATCAGCCATAACTTTATGACCACACGACTTATATTGAGCAGGTCCCTCTTTTCAAAAAACAAGGTTGAAGCTTTTTAATTGGTTTTAAATGTCTTGTTATAGGTGTCTTTATATATATTAGTATCATTAAACTTTGTTATATTATATTATATTACGCATTGTGATCCATTTATCAGACCATCTCCACTTTTAGGGATTTCTTGTTTAAAGGGGATTGTATTTTTTTTGAATTCAGGTCCCTCTTTTCTTGACCCATTGAGGCATTAGATGCCTATCTTTGTGCCAGATACCACAGCACTAGATCCCTGAAGGTGTGCTGTGGTATATGGCACCAAGCCAAAAGTAGAAGATCCTTTAAGTCCTGTAAGTTGTGAGGTGATCGGCCTCCATGGATCGGACTTGTTTTTCCAGCATATCCCACAGATGATCGATTGAATTGAGATCTGGAGAATTTGGAGGCCAAGTCATCACCTCAAACCATTCTTGAACCATTCTTGCAGTGTGGCAGGGCGCATTATGCTGCCGAAAAAGGCCACTGCCATCAGGGAATACCGTCTCCATGAAGGGGTGTACTTGTTCAGTGACAATGTTCAGGTCGGTGGTACGTGTCAGAGTAACATCCACATGAATGGCAGGACCCGAAGGTTTCCCAGCAGAACATTGCCCAAAGCATCACACCGCCTCCGCTGGCTTGTCTTCTTCCCATAGTGCATCCTGGTGCCATCTCTTCCCCAGGTAAGTGACTCACACACCCGGCCATCCATGTGATGTAAAAGAAAATGTGATTCATCAGACCGGGCCACCTTCTTCCATCGCTCCGTGGTCCCCTTCTGATGCTCACGTGCCCATTGTAGGCACTTTTGGGGGTGTGCACGGGGCAGCAAGGGCACCCGGACCGGTCTGCGGCTACGCAGCCCCTAATACAACAAACTGCGATGCTCTGTGTGTTCAGGCACCTTTCTATCAGAACCAACATTAACCTTTTATGCAATTTCTATTGGATCGGACTACATGTACCAGCCTTCGCTCCCCCACGTGCATCAATGAGTCTTGGCCACCCATGACCCTGTCACCGGTTCACCGATTTTCCTTCCTTGCACCACTTTTGGTCGGTCCTGACCCCTGCAGACCGAGAACATCCCACAAGAGGTGCAGTGTTGGAATTGCTCTGACCCAGTCGCCTACACATCACAATGTGATCCTTATCAGAGTCCCTCCAATCCTCACACTTGTCCATTATTTCCGCTTCCAACACATCAACTTCAGGGACAAAATGTTCACTTCCTGCCCAATATACCCCCCCCCTTCCAGGTGCCATTGTCATATATCCCCCCCCACTTCCAGGCGTCATTGTCATATATCCCCCCACTTTCTCTTCCAGGTGTCATTGTAATATATCCCCCCCACTTCCAGGTGCCATTGTAACCAGACAATCAATGTTCTTCCCTTCACCTCTCAGTGGTCAGAATGTTATGGCTGATCGGTGTATATATATATATATATACTGTATATGTTTGTGTGTATGTAAATACTGTACATATACATACATACATACAAACACCAGTGAAACATGTGACAGTGAATACTACCCGACTGTGAATTAACTGAGCTCTATGCAAAGCAGCGGGAGGAATCCGGTAGGGCAGGGTCAGGCGGAGTGAACATTTCAGTGAGGCATCTGACACTACAAAGGTAAGAGGAAATGTGCCAGGACAAGCTTTATTTGTAAGGTCTGGAGATCAGGGGGTATCCTCGGGCGAGAAGGTAAGTTAAAGTCATAATGTTTTGAAGCTGTTTGAAATGCCGACGAAATCACTTACAATGGACGCTGGTCCCTGATGCTTAAGCTTTAGTTTCCGGCAGAATCAGCGGGTCCCTTGATATCCTGTTTTAGTGTGGCTCCTTTCCCTTGCAGGGTCCTATGGAGCCACCCTTGTGTGCGTCTCCACAAACACAGCAAAACAAAACAC